TAATTGGCATTAAGTTTGAATTATAAAGGCTTATTATATTAAAAAATTCAAAATTATATTAAACTAAATTGAAGGAAAAACGGTGAGTAACCGCGTCTTGATTAAAGTCTATAAAAACTGTCTTATTATGGGGTATCCCTACTATTAATACTACAAGTTGTAGTTTCTAGTTATAAAATTAAAGATACATGACCTTCTTATTATTAATTCCAAAAAAACAGTCACACAAACGTGCGTCACCCACAAATCTCCCAAAGGAGGCAGAAAATCATATCATTTTTGTCCTTTCGAGAAGTCAAAATGCTGAAAATCACAAAAGGTGAATAACCAGAACCAAGAACTCTTTTACAACTAAAAAGACTAAAACACAACCACACTTGGACCAACCAGCGAGCATTGAAAAGTTGACTAGTCAACATCGGATTTCTATGCATTGAAGAGAAGATAGTACGTGGCATGTTTGCCCGTTGTTGCCCTCGAAATGCAACAAAAATAAATCAAACAAAAAACTGAAAAGAAGCAGTGGCTACAAACAGGCAATAGGGCAGACAGCAAAAACCATAAAGAGAAACACGAACTATACCACGTAACGAATAATTCGAATTAAGAAAGTTGATTTCAATTACTTTTAATTGCAAAACCCTGGAAAAAACATCGTGCTTTAGGTTTCTAAAGTGGGTTTTAAATGAAAAGAAGTTTAAATGGAATGCTAACTTTTGTTAGCTACAGAAACTTAAAGAACCATACGGATTTATGTGACATAAGTCGACTAAAATCGTTCCTAATATTGTTGAATATACTATGTTTATACTTAATATTTGTTAAAAGTAATCTGTTTCTCCTCCTCTTTTGAATACGCAGAAACACCAACTGAAATTACTTGTATATCTCTACCTCGGTAACGAAATGTCTTAAAATATTTATTCGGTCTAGCGGATGGAAAATGTAAAAAGATGAACAAGAAAGGGTTTTCTATAGTAGAAATAATTAAGCGTACTATCAGCGGTTACTAGCCATAGAACAGATGAAGTCCCTTTGCTTCTTGCATATATCCATCTCACTCAGTTTAGATGAGTCCGGGTATCCGATAGTCGAGGCACTCGAGCGTTGTCTCTTGTGAAAACCCGTTCCTCGAGCTTTATGCTCATTTTCACTAATTTGTCATTGTAATTTAATTCACCGCATCTTCGGTTTTTTTCTACAGTCTTGCGCATGAGTCAGGGTTCAGTGAGGCGCACATAATCAGTCAATGGCCTTGCAAAATTATGCAGCCCTTTGCCCGACCACACCCTCCGCATCAGACCGCCCTCTGTTTTGGCATTTTCATTGCATTTCATTTCGGTTTATTGCTGTGACAAGCAAGATTCACTTTTTCCTATTTGAGTAGCTTCCTCCTATGGATTTTTACATAATTGATTATCTGGCCTTTTGACTAGGCTTCAATTTCTGCAGTCTCAACACTTGATTGCCATGGATTTACCTGGTTTAAGCGCTTTCTTTATTTCGGTTTTTACTTTTGGAGGTCTTACCACTAACTACATTTGGCAATGACTGTAATTTTACTTGCACGTCAAACTCTGGAAAACTTACGCCAAAGCCTACACAAAAAGGGTACAAAAAGAATAGTGAAAAAGGCAGAAATATCGAAGTTGAGTGAAAGTAGAAATGCGAAGTAGAGGCAGAATACTTTTTACCTTAACTCAACGGAGAACAACTGACAAAACTGACAAAGTGCAGTCGGAAAAATAGTTTCGAAAAAACTGCCCTAGACCTGCAACTTTAGCTGCATCTTGTATTGCTCCCTTATTTTATTATTACTTTCTCAGTCCGATCCAAATGAAATTAATTATATCTTCTGTGCCCGTTTCCAAAAACGTGTCAATTAAAATTGGAGAAAATACAGTTTCTGCAACGCGAAGCAAAAATGCCCCGTACAGTCACGGAAAAGGTTATCAGGACACATCAGGGCTGTATTTTGCGGAATTGCACACTCACCCAGTCACACACCCGGTGTATTAATGCACCTGTGCCGTACTGTCAGCCTTTGACGGCTCTGCGGATGAAGCATCTGTTGGGGACAATTGTGTTGGATATGGGTGATGGGCAAGAAAGTCGGTGGGAAACGTCGCTGGGAGGGAAGGATAAGTAGTTCTTGGTGCCGACATGTTGACAGCCGAGCTAGAGTGTTTGGGAAAAAGACACCAGGACATTTCAGTGAATTGGCATTTCAAAAAAATACGGGAAAAAAACGTCGGAAAGCGGAGACGGCTTTCAACAATTTCGCGCAATCGAACTGAAATTATATATTTTTAGCTTAAAGATGTAAGATTTAAAGAAGTAACAACCTTAATATACCTTAATATACAATTCCATGATAATCCCTTTGATGGCACGACATTTTTTTGACATATTTTTCTGGTTTCTAAACAGGTGTTAAACTGTGCTTAATAATGACTATGCTTACCGATGCTTGGAGACATATGTTTATATGTTGCTTCTTAAACAAATTTGAATGGGTGTTAGTCATTGACGAGGTTAAGTAAAGCTTATGTCGAAACAGCTTTAACCGAATAATGAGGGTACTTAGTCAAGGTTTATTCGTTTTGTCTTCTGTTTATATTTCTAAAAAATGTTCTCAAAATCTCTCAGTGTACTAGCGCTCTAATAACTTTTAATTTGTTGTCCCACAGGACTTGATGTGCCATTCGAAACACCTGTTCCGCTTAGAAAATTCGGCTATCCCCGCTTTCCTTGTGGCCAACTTCACTTGCTGGACATTTTCCTCGCAATCTTTAATACCTGACGGGCGAATGTTGCGAGTTAGCTTTAAAAGAAGCCTTGGCAAATAAACTAATTTTGTTTACACGCAAATCACATTTCTAAACAACTAAAAGCAGTCGCAAGAACAACTTTCCTACACTAAATTGTTTACAAAATTAAGAAAATTGACAATTTCCGGCGACCAGGACGAGAAGACGCTTACCAAAATAATAAAAATTGAATCTTAATGGCTCCGCTTTGTAGACTCATGCCATTGTTTTGACTTTGCGATTTCCCACTCCACTGTTCAGTGTCCCAGTTTTCGACTTGCCCCACTATGGGGCTTGCGCAAAGGGAGGGAATAACCTTTGGCACGGCAACAACGCGCCGCATATTTAAATTTTAATTAAAATTTCTTCTGGGCTTGCCGCACCGCCCACTTCGTCCTTTCGGGTTCTTCACCGTTCGGAGAGAGGCGTGTTACGTTCCCATTTCGCATTCGCGCGCCTAAAAATATGCAAACAAAAATGGCTTTGAGCGAGCTTAGTTATACGGAAATGGATCGTAAGGTAGAGACGGCTTACCTCATCCAGGATTTCTGATAACCTCTTTGTCAAGGTTTATAGTTTAGGATAGCTTAAACCTCTTATTTATACAATTTTTAAATGGGATTTGCTTTTCTTATCAATGTTTAGCTTGTCAAATGAACAATTTATGTAACCGCCGATGGGTAAACCTCGATTGCATTTTTATACTCGTTACTTGTAGAGTAATTGGGTATTAGTATACACTATTGATTTGTTGAAAAGCATGTAACAGCAGAAGGAATCGTTTCCGACCATATAGTATATATATTCTTGATCAGGATCAATAGCAGAGTCAATCTGACCATGTCCGTCCGTATGAACATCGAAATCGCATTAACTATAAAAGCTATAAAGTTAAAAGTAAGCATGCAGACTCCAGAGCCATAGACGCAGCACAAGTTTGTTGACCCATGCTGCCACGCCCACAAACCGCCTAAAAGTGCCGCGCCCACACTTTTGGAAAATGTTTTCATATTTTTTCACTTTTGTATTTGTCTTGTAAGTTATTTGTTAATTCCAAAAATTTGTTTTGCCACGTCCACAAACCGACCAAAACTGCCACGCCCATAGTTTTGAAAAATGTACGGAACTTTTTTGCTTTTACTATTAGTCTTGTACATTTATATCGATTTGCCAAACAACTTTCCAATCATGTTTAATGAGTTTAGTTTAATACCAGTTTAGCAGAACATTAAAGGATTTTTTTAATCTTTGTATATATTTTTCCCTTATATTATATTTATTTTTCCTCTAATCTTAGAAATTAACTTTGTTTCTTTCCGGAATCAGTGGTGTCCTGTACCCACTAAAATATATTTTTTTTATTGTATTTCATTTTTAAGTATACCTATTAATAATTTCAAAAAATTTCGTTGGACAAAATCAGACACTGATATTTTAATAACCAGCCTAAAAGTTGTGAATTTGCACAAAAATGTAAAGAACTAACGAAACTTTCTTTTTTTTCTATCTCTACGGTACATTTTACAAAAAAAAAGGGAAATAAAAAGTCGCTCAAAAAAATATTATGTATATACCTTATCGGAATCGCTTCCTCTTACCTGTTACATATTTTTGAACGAATCTAATATACCCTTTTACTCTACGAGTAAGGGGTATCATAAAGTTATATCTTTTTGCATTCGATTCGTCTCTTCTGCAACTTCATTTTTCTCGTTCGTCTCCGAAATGTTTTTGTTTTTTGGTAATCTTTTCGAGGGGTCCTTGTGTCTACACAGGTTGTTAGTTGCAATCCACAAAACCGCCAAAACGAACGAGATAACTGGTGCAGGGAGGAGCCCCGGAGAAGCCTCTCAGTTCCAGCCACAAGCCATGCAAATAGGCTAGACACGACCACAAGGGGACGAGGTTGGAATCGGGGTATGAAGCATCGTCTGCACTCAATTTTTCAAAGCTCGTCTTTGTCGTTAGTTGGTTGGCTGGGTTTCGGGCTGTTTTGACTGCTTTGGTGCTGGTTATTCAGCTTCAGCTCCCATCCTGTTTTGGTCTTTGCAAATAACGAATGCAAAATGCTGCTCAAGTGTTGAAAAATCAGCAGAGCTTCTTGCGGATCCCAGTAATCCCATTCGGTTCATTCAAATGCAGTGGAATTCCATAATTAATTTTCCCCTTTTTATCTTTTGACTCTTGCAGGATACACCTCAACGAAGTGGATAACGAAAAGAGTCAGGTGGAATACCATTGGGAAAAACATATTCACCAAAATGGTTAATTTCGATAAAATATTTAACAGTGAAAGTGAAAACGGTTGAAGTTTCAAAGTAAAAGGAAATAACTCTTACGCCAAAGAATGCAATATTAAATGCATCATTAGGTTAAGCTATCAGGCATTTTACATTGACTGACATTCGAGCGTATTAAAACAAAAACTTATGAGGGAGCAAGGCTCTCCGAGTATGGTTGAATTAAATATCAAAAAGTGAAAATACAAATATTTAAAAAGTGTTATCAGAGTGGTGATTGAGAAGTGCAGTCGTATAAAACTTAATCAAAAGCACGGGCTAGTTGCTCAATAGTATACTTTTAAAGCAAGGGTTGTTCTATGGGGTGCATCCACTAGAGAAATATGGAAAAGCGGCTTAGCGACAGTCCCGGAGATTGTCGCGTAACGAGATCCACCATGACGCCCACTCTGCGCCTGGATCACACTTCCAGGCAAGAGCCTCTTCCGCAGCAGCCGGATAACGGCCCAGCTGGAGCGCCTGGAAAGTCAAAGTCCCCCACTCCATTGCCCGGTAAATCACAGGCCGCACAGCACCACCAGTTCCGGGCTCCCCAGCAGCAGCAGGGCCCCAAAAATCGGAACAAGGCCTGGAGCAAGAGGCAACACAAGGCAGGCGGGAAGCACAACCCCAGCGCCTGCGTCGGCGCAAGCAGTGCCCAGACCCAGTCTACAAGCTCCTCGGCCGTAGCCGCGACCCTCCTTCCCACGGCGGCGGCAGCCCACAAGGCGGATCTCGAGAACATCCAGAATATCCAAAACAAAAATTTGACTGCCGGCGGTGGAGTCAACCATCATGGGAACGCCGGAACAGCGCATCACGGCGGTGGCGGTGGTGCCGGCGCCCATCACGCCGCAGCGGGTGGGCACCATCACCATCACAACACGAGGCTTGCGCAAAACGCTGCCGCTAGTGGGGCGAGCGGAGGAGGAGCCATGCAACTCCATAAGAAACTGTTGAGGTGGGTGGTTCTAAATATGTATTTTCAAGTTATTTCGTTACCAAATCTTTTCCTACTCTATAAAGTACATATATTCTCGATCAGAATCAATAGCCCAGTCGATCTAGCCATGTCCGTCTGTCCGTATGAAAGCCGCGATCTCAGGAATTATAGAAGCAAGAAAGTTGGAATTAGGCATGCAGATTTCAGAGACATAGCACAAGTTGGTTTCCTAATGTTGCCACGCCCACACATTTGCAAAATGTTTTGATTATTTCTTCACTTATTATTTGTCTTGTCAATTTCTGTCCGTCGGTGTGCCAAAAATTCTTTTCCCCGCCCGCAAACTGCGGAAAACTGCCAAGCACACTTTTAAAAATGTGTGTTTTTTTAATTTTGTTATTTGTTTTGCGAATTTCTATCGATGTGCCAAAAAAAAAAAAATAAATTTCTCGTTCGCACTCCCACTAGCTGAGTAACGGGTATCTGATAGTCGAGGAACTAGACTAGTGTTCTCTATTGTTTTAAATAATAGGGAAATATTTGGCGTTTCTGTGATATTTGTTGTTGGAGAAAAATGAGATCATAACAGTTTTGAGTTAAGGTTAAGATTTAAGTGAAGTTTGCGTGGGTAATTAATTTAAGTTCTGCGTATTCTCTTTTCCAGGGGTCACCATCACCACGTGCTGTGCGCCGGAAACAATGCTAACCACACGTGCTGCCTGGTCACGGGATGCAATGGCAGCTCTACCGGCGGAGCGGGCGTGGCAGGAAGCGGTGGCGCTGTCGCTGCAGCGGGGGGAGCGTCGTGCAAGGAAGCGCAGAGCTGCAAGGACACCAGCTCGCTGAGCGGCAACAGCAGCATCGCAGGCAGCGCGGGAGCGGGCAACGCAGTGCACTATTGCTGCGGCCGCTCCAAGTTCTTTTTGCCGGAAAAGCGGCTACGCAAGGAGGTGATTGTGCCGCCCACCAAGTTCCTGCTGGGCGGCAACATCTCCGATCCACTTAACCTTAATTCACTGCAGAACGAGAACACCTCGAATGCCTCCTCCAGCAACAACACGCCGGCGACCACGCCCCGCCAGTCGCCCATCACTACGCCTCCAAAGGTGGAGGTGATCATACCGCCCAACATCCACGATCCGCTGCACCTTCTGGATCCCGTTGATTCAATGGAGTACGAGAAGCAGCTGACGTCACCGATGAAACGTGGAGTGGGAGGCGGTGGGATGCTTCACCACCGGCAGCACCACCATCGCACGCGAAAGAACCGAAAGCGACGGCGCTTTGACTCCAACAACACCTCGCATGCCGGCGATGAAGCAGTAGTCGGAAGCGAGCTGACCGACGAACCGCCGCTGCCCACAGCCACCTCTTCGCTGGCGGCGTCGCCGGTGGCAGCGCCCGTTAACGTAGGCGGCAGCTTGCTGCTGAGCGAATCCATTGCTCCGGCCCCGGGCGAAACGGCGGAAACGGGCCATCAGCAGGCGCATGTGCACTCTCCGCAATCGGCATCGACGACAACGACCGCTGAGATGCCGACGCCGACGCCGACGGAGGCAGCGGCGGCGACTGCGGCCGAGGAGCACAAGGAACAGGCAGCGCCAGCGCCGACTGCAACGTCATCGCCACAGCGGCAGCAACATGTGGCCGCTACAGCCGAGGAACCTCCCACTCCGGCCTCTTCCAGTGCCGCTGAGCCGCCGGCAGAGGAGCTGCTCCTTAGCTGTTCGGCCACGTCGGCCTCACTGGCGGTGGCTTCGACGCTGGCAGAGCGAAGGGCCAGCCGAGACCTGCGTCTGGACTTGTCAAGCACGTGCTACGGCGTCGGCGGCACGGGTCTGAGCTTCGGCGGCAGCAACGCGGCCAGCGTGGCTATCAGCTCCGGGGGTGGTGGGAGGAAGAGGAAAATTAGCGAGAGCAGCACTTCGCAAAAGAGCAAGGTGAGTAGAGTTCGGGTGGAATGTGGTGGGAATGAAACTCGTTCCATGTGGGCAGAAAACCGAGAAAGAGCATGCGAGAGAGAGAGGAAGGAATAGCCAGTGGCTGAGGGAGAGAACCATTGAGAGCGAGGACCCGTTGTTGTTGCGGCTTGGCAGCAAGTCACTCGCTGCTTTTGTTTTGATTTATTTTGGCAGCTTTTACGTTTCCCAATTTTGGTGTTTTGGCTTTGCCAATTTGCTTTTGTGCTTAGACCGGATAAGTTAAGTTATAGCTTTATGTATCTATGCATATGGGAAAAACAATAACATATAATAAAATTGATGTATATTGTTAGAATTATTTTACACTAGTTTATTAACGTAACGGTTTTGAAGTCGATATACATTGTATGTAGATTGCATTCGAGTACTGCCTTCAATCCGTAGGCGTTTTACACTTTATTTAATGGTCCTAGGAAATGACTTAAATGTTTAATTACGTTATGACCAGCAACGAGTATAAATAATGTACATATGCATACTGAGTACAAAATGTTATAAGGAAATGTCAAATAGAATGGAGTACGTACTTATTTTTTAATAATTCCAGTTAGAACCCTGCTGCGATTTCTAAAAAGAAACCACAGAGCAGCAACAACCCCAGCTCAATTTAATATTAATGACACTACTTCTCGCACAACAAACAGCACTGAAACCAGTTTAATTGATTTTGTTTCTCTGCACAGAAATTTCATCGTCACGATGCCATGGACAAGATTGTCAGTCCAGTGGTTCCGCAGCCAGGTGCCTGGAAGCGACCACCACGCATCCTTCAGCCCAGCGGGGCCAGGAAGCCCAACTCCCGCCGATCTACGTCCGTCAGTGAATCGGAGCTGCTCAGTCCCGTGGAAGAGCAGCCGCCCAAGCAGCTGCCCCTCATCGATGGTAAGAGCTCTGTTCCACAATCTAATGATCCAGATGTAAGGTCAATTTTCTGTTCTGCAGTGGAGATACCCCGTGATGATACGCCCGACTTGCCGGATCATGGGCTAGGCAGTCCGCTGAGCACTACTTCGGCGGCCACCTCGCACACGGCCGGCGAGCAGGATTCTCTGGCCGGTGTGGACGTCAGCATGGGGGATGCTTCGGGGTCCGGCGGTATGGGCAAGGCACCGCTGACCAGTAGTCTGACGCTGGAACCGACTATGATTCCCCCCATGAAAATGCTGCCAAAGTTTCGGGCCGATGGATTAAAGTACCGGTACGGAAACTTCGACCGCTACGTGGACTTTCGGCAGATGAACGAGTTTCGAGACGTGCGCTTGCAGGTGTTCCAGCGCCACGTGGAACTGTTTGAGAACAAGGACATTCTAGACATTGGCTGCAATGTTGGCCACATGACCATTACGGTGGCCAGACATCTGGCACCAAAAACAATTGTCGGTATTGACATTGATCGAGAGCTTGTTGCCCGAGCCAGAAGAAATCTGTCGATCTTTGTGCGAATTCCCACGGAGGAAAAGCTGTTAGATGTCAAAGTAGAGCCAACGATTGAGGCAAAAGCGGAGTTAAGTCCGCCAGGAAAAACGGAAATCTCGGCGAAGGCTGAGGCATCGGGAGCAGCTCACAAGAAAACGAGACGCGGCAAGAGACGACGCAAGGTGCACGAGGGAATACATCATCATCATCACCACCATCATCATGATTTGGAACAGCTGCAACAGCAACATAAGTTGAACTTGTTGCTTGTTAAGCCGCACGAATTCTTTCCCATTTCTTTCCCTCTGACTTACGGAGGTATTCCCAATGTTCTATCATCGAGCAAATCGCCCAACATGCTCGGGAACAAGAATCCGTTTCCGGCAAACGTCTTCTTCAGACACACCAACTATGTTCTCAAGGACGAGTCATTGATGGCCAGCGACTCCCAGCAATACGATCTCATACTGTGTCTCTCGGTTACTAAGTGGATCCATCTCAACTTTGGAGACAACGGCTTGAAGATGGCGTTTAAGCGAATGTTTAACCAGCTGCGACCCGGGGGAAAACTTATACTTGAAGCCCAAAACTGGGCCAGCTACAAGAAGAAAAAGAACCTAACGGTTAGTTATCATTGATAAATACAATTTTTTTGATAAGAAAAGAATAAGAACATATAAATGGATTTTATAACGCTACAGCTTCGCGTATATATCACTTAATATCTGTTAATTGTCTTTCATTACAGCCGGAAATTTATAACAACTACAAGCAGATCGAGTTTTTTCCGAACAAGTTTCATGAATACTTGCTTAGTTCGGAGGTTGGATTCAGCCACAGCTATACGCTTGGCGTGCCTCGTCACATGAACAAGGGCTTCTGCCGACCCATACAGGTGATTAATATATTTATTTTAATACACAATATTCAAGAGCTAACTGTTGTTTCGTTTTCCCTATCAGCTGTATGCAAAAGGAGACTATACCCCGAATCATGTCCGTTGGAGCGATGCCTACTATCCTCAGACGCCATATGAAGCATATCGGGGCATTTACGCCACCCTGCCCGTTCATCGGATGGGCGGCGGTGGGAGCAGCGCAGGCGGAAGCAATAGTGGGCACGCTCAAATGCTGCACCTTAGCAGCTCCAGTCGGTCGCAGAACTATGATACGCCGCACTACGCAGGCAGCGCATCGGGCTCGGCCAGTTGCAGACAGACTCCAATGTACCAGCCCACCTACAACCCATTGGAAACGGACTCATACCAGCCCAGCTACGACATGGAATATCTCAACCACATGTACGTGTTCGCTTCGCCGCTTTATCAGACCGTCTGGTCGCCTCCAGCTTCGCTGCGCAAGAGCAGCTCGCACACTCCGGTATTTGGAAGCGTGCGCGATGCAGAGCTGGACGGTGATGGCAGTGGTGGTGGGGGCAGTGGTGGTGGAAGCTACCACCGCCACGTCTATCCGCCAAACGACGACACTTGCTCGCCCAACGCAAACGCTTGTAATGCGTTTAACTCGATTCGGGATGCGGACACAGACGATTCTAACCAGCTGCCAGGGGGAAGTCGACGGCATGTGTATGCAACCAACTGCGGAGAGAGCTCCTCATCGCCGCAGGTAAATCACCACGAGGCGGTCGGCGAATTTGTGGACGCTCTTATGGACGATGAACAGAAGTCTTCAACAGGCGGAGGAACTGGTGGCGCAGCTTATTGTGATCTGTCGGATGCCTAGAATATGGATCTTTTAGGCAGGGAAAATGTGTCAAAAAGAAAAAGAACAAAAAAAAAGAAAAAGCTTAAGAAAACCCCAAAAAGTTTTCGTACAGAAAAAATGTAATGCAACCGTAAACCGAGACGCTTATGATTTTCTATGGTATAATGTGCGTATATATTTTTATATATCGTAGTTTAATGAATGAATATATACACAAATATATACAGATCTATATATACAATTGGAACAGAGATGCATGTGTTTAGATTTATTGCATTCTTTAATGTTACGGCTTACCATTTTGCTAAAACGCTTTATAGTGAGAACTTAATTTGATCCTGTTGGCAGTTGAATTGTAATCCTAGTTTTAAATCCCCAATAAGCAATACAAAAATAAACACGCTCTCACGTTTACAAAATACATATACTGGCACACCCACCAACACTCACATATACGACAAGCTGTAGCTTTAACTAATATACTAAATTGTGCTAAAAATTGTTTAGGAAACCTAAAGAATCCCATGAAATTCAACTATTTTTGATTAACATTTTGGCAAAGCAAAACCTTAAAAAGCTGGAAGGAGTGTGAACAAAAACATGAAATAAGCAAACACAATGGCAACATAAGGAAAAAACAATACATTATTATACATACTTGTAGGCAAGTGAGAGTATGCTTAAAATTATTTACAGCTAAGCAAGTGTAGCATAAATATCAAGTATGATCAATAGAAAAAATCCACATTTCGCTAACTCTTTTTCCACCTTGTGAGAGGTTCGCGGAATTTATGAGTTTTATCTCTGGTATGTTTTTGAAACATTTTAATGGAATATTTTACTTTTTTCTGAGAAAATGAAAACTAATGTAGTCGAAAGAATTTAAATAATATATCTAAATATAGAAATAAAACCATATTATATTACAACTTTTGGGAAACATTTTTTTATTTCTGTGAAGTTTGATTGTTCGATCTGCCCTGGCTTATGCCTTATTCAACAATCATCTCAATATGGATAATTCTGGCGCTTTGAGTCGGTGTTGCCCAAATATGTTTGGCACATCGATAGAAATGGCCAAGACAAATTATAAAATCGAAACATTTTTTAAAAGTGTGGTGGATTGACAGTTTTGGGCGGTATGTGGGCTTGGCAAACTTCTAAAACAAACTCGCGCTGAGTCTCCAGAATCTAAATTTTTAATCTTAACCTTCTAGTTTTATACAGTGAGTCAAAAAAATATTTCTAGCAGAGAGGGTTAAAGGAAAAATTTTCAATATTATAGAAATGGCTTTCAGTTCCACACATATTTAGTAAAGTATATGACGAAAAGGAGCAGATAGAAAGCATAGAATGCTACATTCAAATTACATATATAAATAAATCGACTTTATGATCACAAAAATGCACATATGATATATGATATATGTATACATGATATATGTGATATTTTATAGTGTTTTTTGGGTGGTAGCGCGACATCTTTTTGGTTTGCTTGTTCTCTCCCTAATAAAATATCAAAATGACTTTCTTTTGCTTAAAAATATTTCGACATGAATTTTGAGTAAGTTTGAAGGCAAGTATATGTAAAATATATGTATTTTCAAAAAATGTCCACCAAAATGGGTCTAAGCTCATCTTAGCTAAAAGTCGTAAAACACGTGCACCAAAACAAGAAGTAAGAGGCTGAAAACAAAAACATAAATATTTTATTCGGAATGAAAAAACGAATCCTTTGGTAGGGTAAAATTTTTAGGTCCTAATGATCTAGATACAGAAAAAAATTTCTAGAATTATTCCAATGTCTTTGATAGAACCTTGCCAATAAGTTACATAAATTCGTAAAATTTGCCAGCTTTCTTCGCATTTTTCTTAACGCTTTGTTATTGTAGTTGACAGTTTAAAGTTTAAGAGTCATATTAACGTTTTTGGATCAGCTGTTTGATCGAAGCATACGTACATATGTATGTATATATATGTATGCATGTGTTGTGTCTGACTCGCTTAAGCTTTCCAGGCGAAAGCTCCTTCTCAGAATGTCAGTTAGTTTGGTCAGTCAAGTGAGTTTTGCTAGGCGTGGAATACGATGAACGCGAACGGTAAAACGTGAACATTCAAATTTAAGTGGAAAGGTCCTAAGTAATTGTTAAGTGAAAAATAAATCAAATGTTGTTTAGCCTGGATCTGTGGAAAGCAAAAACGCGTGCCAAGCTCAATAAACTTTCTCTCTGCGCGTCTCTCCATCGCGCTTCCAGTGAGAAAACTGTGCTGATCGGGCTCACTTCCACGATCGTCTGGCGTTTTGATTAGTTTCGAATTTGACTTATAGCGACGCGGGTCGGCGCTCTCTCGCCAAACAAAAGCCACAAAAGTCACAAGCAAAGATTTGAGGAAATATTTGCCCAAGGGGTCTCGTTCTACACCAATAATAAAGTGCCGCGATAGAAGTGTGTGTGCCATTGATCAACATTTTAATATTCGTAAATTGCTTTTCTTATGGTCTCACGAAACGTGTTCATGTGGCGCCTCAATTGATTTGATCTTATTGTATTAATTATCAAAGTGTTAAGTCTGCCAAACAAAAGCATATACATACATGAAGAAATACATATACGTGCACATATGTACACACACTTAACCCACTGCCCAAGTCTCCCGCTTTTAGTGTGAGTGATTCCACTGTATACGGCTTGGAGTTCAAGCAGGGAGAAGTTGAGCCACAACTTCTGGCACTGGATTACGAGCTTAAATTATTTTCAGCAGTTGCCGCAAACATGTGAGTGCTTTAAATTCGTATAATCACATTGAAGTGATATTTACAAATAGTAGTAAAAACTTTTCAACATAAGAAAGATATTATTTCACCTTTTGTGACGAAAAATGGTTTTACATCCTTTTTTTTTTGTTATTTATATATCTTTTAAAAAATTCGAGGCAATTAAGCAGTTTAGAATTCCAAAACACCTCTTTAACATCATATGGGAGAAGGGTAGGTACACCGAATAACATTTTAGGACATACCAACAAACTACCCTACAAAAATGCTCATATTCCCCCAAAAATGTCCCCCCGAGCTCCTCGACTATCAGATACCCGTTGCTATGAGGATGTCGGTGTCGGTGATATTATGGATACGTACATATATGTATGTACATACATATGTACATATGTTCCTACTTCTTCTTGTTTAGTCCCAGATCCCTGGCTCAGTTAAAGGGTATACCAGATTCGTTTAAAAGTGTGTAACGTGTAGAAGAAAGCCATTCGGACCCGATAAAGTATATATATTATTGATCAAGATTACGTACCAATTCGATTCTGTCCGTCCGTCTGTCCATATGAATCGAAATCACCGGAATTGTAAAGGCTAAAAAGCCTATGTTAATATATGCAGGCTTTAAATGCTTCGCATACCGAAGACTATTTCAGAACGTTGCCATACCCAATGTAACGTCCACAATGTAAAGCTGCTTACATTTTGGACCTGCATTTAACTTTATTAGAAAATGTACCTCGAAACCAATACTTACATTATACTCTGTCTTTAATGACAAGCAGATATCTTATCTTATCGTCACTTATACTTCACAAGTGTGACAAGGCTTATAGTGGTATTATTAAAATCGAACAATAAACCCATAGAACTTAAGAATTATAGAATGTAGCTAATTTTCCAACAACGATCACAAAACCATCTTATATCAAAAATACATGTAACATGTTAAATGTTACAAGTAGTATTACAGTCTGTAAATCGGAGTACCCTTTCCCCACACTTTCTGTATTTATGTTAAAGTCATCTTATCATGATATAAAATAAAATACTATATGCACATGAAGAAAGTTGAGATTAAGCATGCAAATTCCAGAGACGTAGACTCCGAGAAAGTTTGTTTACTCATATTGCCACGCCCACTCTAGCGGTGAAAAATGTTTTAAAATGGTTTTGTTTTATTCTTTCCCTGGCCAATTTCTATCGATATACCAAATACACTTTTGTAACGCCCTCTTTAAAACTGTCACGCCCACACTCTTGACCTTTTACACAATTTTTTAATTTTTTTCCCATTAATTTTTTTCATAATTGCTATCGGTATGCAAGAAAAATGTAGTAATTTCTTGTTCGCACACCGCTAATCTCTTGTTTTTTTTTAAATACTTTGCGCAAACGTTGAATGCAATTTATATGATACGCAAATTCTGCTGGGACTTTTTTAAACAGGCATTATTTGGACTAGGATGTCGTAGAGTAAAATGGTATACTAGATTCGTGAATATAGCCTAGTCGATCTGGCCATGTCTGTCTGTCCGTTCGTCAGTCCGTCCGTCTGTCTGTCCGTCCGTATCAGGAACTATAGAAGCTTGGCATGCAGATTTCAGAGACATAGATGCAACTCAAGTTTGTTTTGATATATTTTTATTTGTTTATTAGTCTTTTAAATTTCTATTTATTTGCAAAAAATCGGTTTGGTACGCCCACTCGGGAGGTAGACCGCCCAAAACTATCACGCCCAAATGTTTGAAAAACATTTTTTTTTTCGCACGTTCCACTAGCTGAGTAACGGGTATCTGATAGTTGGGGAACTCGACTATAGCATCCTATCTTGTTTATTTTTATTTTTATTTTTATTTGTCGCAAAATGAATTTCTAGTTCGCACTTCCACTAGCTGAGTAAACGAGTATCTTGTTTCTTTTATAATGAAGATGATTTATTTTTATGAGAGAATATATGTATTCAAAATGTGGGTCTTTGTTTCTCGACTTGGGGAACTCTTAGGAAGGAGTATTTTACAACATTATTTAAGAAAAGACAACACTAATAAACAAATGAAATTTAGCTCCAAAGTTCCTTTGAGTGGCAGAAACACGAAATGACATTTAGGAAGGTCGATATTTTTAGTTTTATGGGAGATAACAAAGATCTAATTAATTCGAATTTAAGCATTAATATTGTTCACACGTAACATTGTGAAATCATATGTTTTTGCTCATTGGGCTCATTCGGGACGAAAGTGGATTTTTATAAAATGCAAATGTAAATAAGTGAAATTTGTTTTTGACAAAATAAAAACTTGTCTCCCCGTCTAATATAGTATATTATATATCACAAAAGTTGATATCAGAACTTTGGTATGTTAAGGGTGCGATCGTCACTTGTTTTTTACTGCGCCAAGAGTTGTTCTTGTTTGATAAAACTTGGAAATCATTTCGAAAACATATGTACTTTTCAAAATAAACTTATTGATTTAGTCTCGCACTAGGTATCAATCATTTGTGTTACTGACATTCAGTTGCCACGCGAGGCCAATCTAATCGAAAGCATAATTGTAATTCGGTTTATTTTGCCTGCGTAGTTCATTGGGGTCGTACATATAATGAGTTCTGATTACAGCGATTGCTCCCGAGTCTAGTGGTATCGATAAGATAGCCGCAATAGATATTAATGCACACCTAAAGTGGCGTTGTGACTCATCGACTCCTCGACCATTGTTGCGGGTCCAACAATAGGCCCGTACTCGATCAGCGTTTTCAAGAGGTGTGTGAATCGCGTAGAAAGCTTTGGAAAGCTTGTAGAGCCATTACCAGTTGCAATGCATCGGCGGAGAACTTGTTCTTGCGGATTGTGGATGACCTTGCCTCTGAGTTTGATTTTGCATAGGATCTTCGGATAGTAGAAGGGTTTTCGTGCTATCGCATTTCAATGGCTTATGGGGACTACGAAAAGCTTTGCCAGCTGTTTTGAAGTTCACAGCTGTGCTCTACAAAACTCCCTCTCCCTCGTCAACTTGCGGCATTGGCGCTCTCGCCGTAACCGTTACCCGTTAACCGTTTTGAGCACAGCGACCTAAGCTTTTGGCAGCGCCGCCAAGTTTAGTTAATATTATTAACTGGAGTGTCGGCCAAGCTGTCGCAACGTTTCTCGCGGATCGCAGATCGTGGCGGTGAAGTGAGCTTTTTGCCGGGGCTCAAAGTGTGAGTGCGAGGTGTCTTCAGTCTGGTTTTTTTCACATAGCGTGGCATTACTCTCTTTGCCGAATTCAATGCGACGTCGCGCTATTTTCGGTTCTGGAACTTCCGTTAGTCGGTGTCTCGAAAAGTAAACAAAAAGCTGCATATCGCACGCAAACGTGACCATCTTTCCGACGCACTTCAAGTTGATAAGCATCTATGAGATGCAAAGATACGATTTAAAACCCCCGATGTCGCATAAAAAGTAACAATTTCGAGCCAATTAAGTCTGATAGTGCCAAGTGCCAAAAGTGAAATATGCGAAAGCAGAAAAAACAAAACAATTTGTGAGTGTGTTAGTTGGCCATTGTGCAAACCCTTAATGAGCTGGAAGTGCCAAAAGCCAAATACGAACGAATATAAACAGCATTCAACATTCAGTTGTATTTGCAAAACTTGAGTTTTGTGTTCACGCAAAGATAACGAAATGCCATGATAAAAATTTAATTAATTATTTTTCAGTGCAAGGCACTTTTACTGTAGATGCTAAAAGAATAAAGAAGAAAGGAATTCAAATAAAACTGAAAAGAAAAGTTTTCAAAAAATAAATATTTTTAAAGAACTCGAATAATTTCGATTTCTTTATATCACGCAAAATTGATTTAAATGATTATTGCCGTGGCACGAAGTATCTTTCTTTTCTCTACTTCTCATACTTGGAAGAGCCTACACGGCAGTCAGTCCATCAATTGGCATACGCAAACGCGGTATTTATAATTTCTGGTTTAATCAGCCACCGCAGGCCACAGAACCGACATCGTTTACACGTAGTGCCGATGCGACTGAGAAATGCAAAAGGCTGGAGCCGTATAAAGCCAGAAACCGATTGCCAAAAATAAAATAGGTCCATTTAATAGCACCACGGAAATCGCAAACAACTATGATGGCCAAGAGCGTGGATACCACAACCAGCAACAACCATGAGGCCCAGGAACTGCAGCTGCCCCGGCAGGCGTCACCGAGCGCCAACTTGCCACATTTGCAGGTCCGACGTCATCGCCGCAGCATTTCACAGCTGATGGCCAGCATGGGTAATGTTTAGATTATTCATCTGCATAGATTACTTGGCTCCCGTAGAGTGACAATGAAATTTTTGCGTCATCGTGCGATGAGATAAGAGTGAACGAGTTTGTTAAGATATTTCAACCTTTAGAACTGGTTGGCATAATATTATGGTTTGTAAAAGTGAAAAATCTTTCAGCACCGAGTTTGCAGCGTCTCAGTTTGGGCCTATTCATAACAATGGGTGTGCAGTAGAACCGAAATATGTGTGGGGGATCAAAGAACTGATAACGGTTTATTGCCTAAATAATAAATTAACAAAACATTACCCGTTTCCTTTGGTTTATATAAGTCTTTGTCCACTTCTTGCCCCTGCAAATTGCGTGTTGGGCTCCGCCTAACGGTGCCATTAGTAAATGATTCATAACCGACTTTAAAATGCACAACGCGCTGCAAGTAGCGATACTTACCGATATTGTTATAAATATATTGAGCCTGATTTACATTTGTACTCATGCTCGATCACTGCAACAGGAAGTTTCGATTTCTTTGCCATTGTGTGTAGGTCAGGTGGAGCAAGCGTGGGGTTTCAGTGGGTTTAATGACCTTTTTGGGACACCAACCACTTACAAAACCCGCTAAGCAAAAGCGATTCAAAATAAACGTCCTCGGGCTGAGGACATTTGGATAACAAGTATGGAATGTCAGGCATTATCAATGAAAAGCTTTAATAAAGCTGCGAAAGCATACAATATGTATAAAAAAATTTACATTGGCCGAAATAAAAATAAGTTTTACTGTGTACAATTTTTTTCTGCGATTTAGAAATTTTGATTTTTAAATGGCTTATCAATAGGTAGAAAGGGATACCGCAGTTTTAATCGTCACCATTAAAACTCATTCTTGTGGTTTCAGTTTAGTTACTTTTAACGAACAATTTTATATTCTTTGCGCAAAATGTGTTTACTTCTTATTCATCTTATCTGTTAGCGATAAAAGTGTCAAGTTTTTATCAACATAGAGCTTTTTAAGTTAATTTGCTCGGCACCACAAATGTGGTAATGGGCTCGGCAAAAAATCACTTTGAAAGTGAAAAGGTGTTAACCAATTTGGGGTACTAAATTAAATAGGTTGTTAATGCCTCTTTTAATTTCTCAAAACGCTGGTCGATGACTTAATAATTATCCCAAGGTGTAACTAAGTTATTTATATACACAATTCTTATTAACGGATTCATTTTCCCACTTTTGACATAAATCTTGGAACTCGAGCTATAAAAAAAAAAAAAAAAAATGTCTCGCCTCAAAAAGTTTTTGTTTGGTAACTTCGAGCTGATAGCAAAAAGAGCTTCGTGATAAGGAGCTTCATATGCCAACAGCTTGGTATTTTCGCTACCTATAAAATAACGAAATCAATACCAAGAATGTATGCTTGCCAGTTGAACATGTCCATAAGCTAGCCTGTGTATGTATGTAATAGTTTGTCAATAAAACTTGATGGCACCTATTAAGATAGGGTCTGTTTGTAGTGCTCCAATGTCATTGATCGTTGAGGGCCATTATCAAATTCTTTGCACTCGGCGTCCCTGTTTATTTTAATTATCACAAGTGATAAGGCACCAATTGTTTCAATACATCAAAGCAATTTTCTTACTTCCCTACATATTTCCCCAAAGATATGTATTTGTATCCCGCAGTATGTGCGCAGCATGCAGCAGGCAGGCATAAAGATACTTTGGGCATAGGTGACAGGACACCTGTTATTGTCTGCCAATCAAAGCACTTGACTAAATACTGATTTATTCTGTTTATTGCTGTCGTCGATAACCGAACCCGTGCACTCTTTCCTGTGCTCTTTTGCAAAGCTGTGTCGTATCGATAAACTCACTTAATCATCATTGTTTGGCCTACCTACTGTGCAGTACGCCCTAATCTATTTGTTGCGCCGTTTTATTTCGACTTGCTATCTAAATGCCAATCAGCTCGAAGCGTATTGCATTTCTGAACTTCAAATATTGTGGGGAACCACAACCGTAGAGACTAGGACAGTTATATGGCAAATTTGTATCTCAACAAGGTGCCTTAATACTTAAATACTTAAAATGATCCTCTGGAGTGCGTAGTGCGAGTAACCAATACAATTTTCTTCTTAGCCAGTAGACTGACTTGCACTGGCTAAGAAAATGCCTATATTTGCGGACGAAGCTGCGTCGAGTGTATTTATGGGGCTCGAAATGGCTGTAAGGGCCAAGCAGGGTTCCTATGTCAAGTTCAGCGGAGAGGAATTAAACTTAACTACATCACATGTCGTAAGCTGTGATCTTGACCGAGCTTCTTTTTGGAATGGAGACAGCATTCGCTAATTATTACCATTTAATGGTTACAACACAGGCCGTTGAGCCAGGGGACATTAACATTTATTAATCTAAACTTAGCAGGTTCTGATACATTTATCTATATAAATGTATTTAATTCCATATAAATGGTATTCATTTACATTCATGACATTTCGAACATTCAAACATTCGTCACTAAACCACAAATATGTATTCTCCAAGCTTTGCTCGCTTAAATATAATTTTAAATATAATTTGCAGCGCTGTCAAATCGTTTTTTACAAAAATCAAATGGATGTTTTCCAGTGTTTCGGAAGTTCTTAGCAATCCAACCCAACATAACACAGAAAGTTACTAACCCTTTTATAACGCTGTCGAATACATTTAATAGCAAAATTGATACTCCCTAAAAACTTTAATTTTCGACAATACTTAACCATAATAGATATTTTCTCTGATATTTTCATAACGCTTCCGTATATTTTCTTTTAATTGTAAATTCATAGGAGTTGTGCCAAATATTTTATTTTGTTGATTTTACACAAATAACACAAAATGCCGCAGGATTCATGAGTTTGAAACTAGGGAAGTAAGAAATATATTTCTGATAGTCATGAGATTTTGCCGTAAAGGGTCTCTTTTCATTTATAACCGCTACTCGTAGAGTAATCAACTAGATTCGTTGACAGGTTAACAGAAGGAAGCTCTTCCGCCCATATAAAGTGTAATTCTTGTTTAGGATCACTAGCCGAGTCGATTTGTCCATGTCCGCTTGTCCGTCCGTATGAACTTCGAGCTTTCAGGAGCTATAAGTGCTAAAAAGTTTAGATGAAGCATGCATAGACGACATGTTGCCCCGACCAATAACACCCACCCAAAACACACTTTTAAAAAATGTGTTGAAATTTTGTCATTTTATTGTTTGTTTTTATAATTTCTATCGATATACCAAAAACATTTTGGGCACGCCTACTCTAATGGTGACCAACCGCCCACAACTCTCACGCTCCCACTATTGAACATTTTTTAAATTTTATTGTAAATTACTGTTGTGAATTTCTATCGAGATGCCAAAAAGGATGTTGAACTTTCCTGTTCGCAGTCCCGTTTGGTGAGTAACGGGTATCTGATAGCCTAGGAAATCGACAATAACGTTCTCTCTTGTTTTTTGTTATTCCTTCATGCAATACTTATATCTGTTTAGATGTATACTTTATAACTAATCTTTTTATTTGTCAACTTGCAGTTGAACACCCCAATGACGATGTGTACCGGCCGGCGCACTACGGCGGCTACGTCAACAGAGGCTACGATGATATAGACAGTTCCTACTACTTTGCCCAGTTCGAGGCGATGGCAGATGCCAGCACCGTTGGAGGCGCCTTGCCGCCCTACGCACTCAGCAACTCGGACGACGAACGCGGCAGCGGGGAAGAGGACGCGTCGGGGGAGAACTCCAACAATGATGAGGGGGAGGTGTTCCCGGACTGCACGGACGAAGCGGCAGAGGAGCATCAAAACCGCTGCTTGCCAGAATTTCAGTTCTCCCTGGTGGATTCTGAGTACGATGAGACCCTCGCCTTTCCTGACTCGGTGACCATCCTATCCAACGTGGGCGACAAGCCGGTGCTGGTGGAGCGCAAGGAGACGGACGACGATGAGGAGGAGTTTGACGACGAGGAAAACAACAGTGTAGTCCTGCGACACGAAATACCATTCACCAGCATATACGGGCCGAGCGTCAAGTTCAACTCGTTTCAGCGCAAGGTCTTCATTCCCGGACGTGAGATTCATGTCCGGATCGTCGATACGGAACGCAGCGTCACCACCCATCTGCTAAATCCCAACCTGTGAGTGAAATCCAATCATACTAGAATCATACTATAAAAGAAGCGTTTCGTATTTATATTCTTGAACAGGATCACTAGCCGGGCGATCTGACCATGTCCGTCCGTTTGTCCGTACGATCTAATAAAAGCTTATGCAAGTTTGTTTTAGAACGCTGTTGTTTGTAACGCCTAGAAATCGCCAAATTGGCTTAGTTTTCTTTTGCCACCACTTACAGGAATTAGCAATTTACATTACGTTTTTACATACGATTTTTCTTTTGCGCAGATACACAATCGAGCTGACCCATGGTCCCTTCAAATGGACGATCAAGCGGCGCTACAAGCACTTTAACTCGCTGCACCAGCAGCTCAGCTTTTTCCGCACCTCGCTCAACATTCCCTTTCCCAGTCGCAGTCACAAGGAGAAGCGTACCACGCTGAAGGCCACTGCCAGAGAGATGGCTGACGAGTCCACTTTGAAGGACCTTCCTTCCCACACCAAGGTCAAGCAGACTAGCACACCGCTGAGGACTGACGGCAGGAGCAGCAAAATCGCCAGCAGTAACGGCAACAATGCCATGGCTATCCTAAGTCCCAATCACAGCTCCATTCTGGCGGGTTTTACGCCGCGACGCATTCAAAAGAAGCGCAAAAAAAAGAAGAAACGGAAGCTACCGCGGTTCCCCAATCGTCCTGAGAGTCTGGTCACCGTGGAGAACCTGAGCGTCAGGATCAAGCAGCTGGAGGACTACTTGTACAACCTGCTGAACATAAGTTTGTACCGATCCCACCACGAAACGGTAGGTACAAGTCGAGACATAATAATATGTTCTTTCGCAAAACCCGACTAAATCCCAATTCATTTACTACAGCTAAACTTCGTGGAGGCGTCCAATGTGTCCTTCGTTCCGGGAATGGGCATTAAGGGCAAGGAAGGATTGATTTTAAAGCGAACTGGATCAACGAGACCGGGGCAAGCGGGATGCAATTTCTTCGGCTGCTTTCAAAAGAACTGCTGCGTGCGCTGCAACTACTTTTGCTCCGACGTAGTGTGCGGCACGTGGCGGAACCGATGGTTCTTCGTAAAAGAGACCTGCTTCGGCTACATCCGCCCAACAGACGGCAGCATCCGGGCAGTGATCCTTTTCGATCAGGGCTTCGACGTGTCCACGGGTATCTACCAGACGGGAATGCGCAAGGGCTTGCAGGTGCTGACGAACAACCGTCACATTGTGCTCAAGTGCTGGACACGGCGCAAGTGTAAGGAGTGGATGCAGTACCTCAAGAACATGGCCAACTCGTATGCGCGCGACTTCACCCTGCCCAATCCGCACATGGCCTTCGCACCGATGCGCGCCAACAGCCATGCCACGTGGTATGTAGACGGCGCCCAGTACATGTCAGCCGTGGCCGACGGCTTGGAGGCAGCCCTCGAGGAGATCTACATTGCCGACTGGTGGCTCAGCCCCGAGATTTACATGAAGCGACCCGCCCTCGACGGAGACTACTGGCGTCTGGACAAGATCTTGTTGCGAAAAGCCGAACAGGGCGTGCGTATCTTCGTGCTGCTATACAAGGAGGTCGAAATGGCTCTTGGCATCAACAGCTACTACAGCAAGTCCACGCTGGCCAAGCACGAAAACATCAAAGTAAGTTTGAAGAAAATATAATTAGCTTATGTGCATCTATGAAGCTTTCTGTAGTCCTGACTTAACCTACTAAATGTTCGTTAAAGGTCATGCGTCATCCGGACCACGCTAGAGGTGGTATTTTGCTGTGGGCCCATCACGAAAAGATCGTCGTCATCGATCAGACCTATGCCTTCATGGGAGGTATTGATTTATGCTATGGGCGTTGGGACGACCACCATCATCGGCTCACGGATCTGGGAAGCATATCCACGGCATCTTTTTCTGGCAGCGCGCGTCGAACGCCGAGCCTATACTTCACCAAAGACGACACGGACTCAGCTTTCGGATCACGAAAGTCGTCGCGGAATGCCCACTACGATATGTCCGCCAAGGAGAGGCCACCGTCTTCACCCCCGCAGGAGCCCAGTACTAGCATAGAGTTGAAAACTCTAAAGCCAGGTGATCGCCTGCTTATACCCTCTACGCTCGTTTCGAGTCCGGGCGACACTCCCGCTGAATCGGGAATCGCTTTAGAGGGAATGAAACTCAACACCCCTGAAATGGAGCGCAAGAACGTACTCGATCGCCTGAAGAACAACGCGATGAAGGGCGCCCGCATGGGCAAGGACTTTATGCACCGACTAACAGCCACGGAGGCGGAGGAAAAATCAGCCGAGGTGTACACTATCGAGTCCGAGGATGTCACGGACCACGAAGTCAACCCTAACATGGCTTCAGGTGGGGGGGAGGTGGCAATTACCACTAGCAGCACACAAATACTCAGTGAGTTCTGCGGCCAGGCCAAGTACTGGTTCGGCAAGGATTACTCCAACTTTATACTTAAGGACTGGATGAACCTAAACTCGCCGTTCGTGGATATCATAGATCGAACAACAACACCGCGGATGCCCTGGCACGACGTAGGTCTGTGTGTGGTGGGTACTTCCGCTAGGGATGTGGCCCGCCACTTCATCCAGCGCTGGAACGCCATGAAGTTGGAGAAACTGCGCGAGAACACAAGATTCCCCTATCTGATGCCAAAGAGCTATCACCAAGTGAGGCTGAATCCGACCCTGCAGCAAAACCGTCAGCAGCGGGTCACGTGCCAGCTACTTCGGAGCGTCTCCGCCTGGAGCTGCGGCTTTATAGAGGCGGATCTGGTGGAGCAGAGCATCCACGATGCCTACATCCAGACGATCACCAAGGCGCAGCACTACGTGTACATCGAAAACCAATTTTTCATCACCATGCAGTTGGGCATGGGTGTGCCAGGCGCCCATAACAATGTGCGGAATCAAATCGGGGAGACACTCTTTAAGCGGATTGTACGGGCGCACAAGTATGAAAACCAATACTTATCCTGTATATAGCAAGTCTAAAGTTAATCTCTTCTAGGGAACGTAAGCCTTTCCGAGTTTATGTGATTATGCCGCTCCTTCCGGGCTTCGAGGGCGACGTGGGTGGCAGTACTGGGATAGCAGTCAGAGCCATTACGCACTGGAACTATGCATCCATTTCCAGGTAAGGAACTAAGGAAGCTAAAGTTGAGATTAAGCATGAAGAATCCTTGCGCAGAGCAAGTTGGTTTTCTTATGTTACCACGCCCACTCTAACGACCATACTGCCCCCGCCCACAATTTTGAAAAATGTTTTGAAATTTTGCGCCAATAAACTTTTTCCCCCGCCACTATAACGCCCACAAACCGCCCAAAACTATCACGACCATATTTAAAAAGTTTTAGGTTATTTTTTCATTTGTTTTCTGCCCCAATTTCTACCGATATTCCAAATAATATTGAAATTTTTCGTTCGCACTTCCATACTTGCAGGGGACGCTCCGCAATTTTGAACCGACTGCAGGAGATGGGTATTGCCAATCCGCAAAACTACATCTCATTCCACAGCCTGCGCAACCATTCCTTCTTGAACAACACACCCATAACGGAGCTGATATATGTCCACTCAAAGCTCCTGATAGCCGACGATCGTGTGGTGATCTGTGGTTCGGCGAACATTAACGATCGCTCAATGATCGGGAAGCGGGACTCCGAGATAGCGGCTATCATTATGGATGAGGAGTTTGAGGACGGACGCATGAATGGCAAGAAGTATCCGAGCGGAGTGTTTGCCGGTCGCCTTCGAAAATATCTTTTTAAAGAACACTTGGGTCAGTAATGTCTTTTGCTGCTATTCGGTTCGTTGATCTAAATCTTACAATGTTTTTCAATCAGGCCTCCTGGAAAGCGAAGGTTCCAGTCGGTCCGACCTGGACATTAGTGATCCTGTTTGCGACAAGTTTTGGCACGGCACCTGGCGTAGGATTTCAACCCAGAACACTGAGATTTACGACGAGGTCTTTAAGTGCATCCCCACAGACTTTGTAAAGACCTTTGCCAGCCTTCGCAAATACCAGGAGGAGCCGCCGCTTGCCAAGACCGACCCAGAGCTAGCTGCCAACAGGGCCAACGACATTCAGGTAGTATTTTCAAATATGAATTCAAATCGCGAGTGGTAATAGCGCTGTTGCCCGTATAATTATACCCTTTACTCATAAAGTAAAAGGGTATACTAGATTCGTTGAAAAGTTTGTTAAATGGTGTTGCCACGCCCACTCTAACGCACACAAACCGCCCAAAACTGCTTCGCCCAGACTTTTGAAGAAGGTTTAGATATGTTTATATTATTTTATTAGTCTTGTAAATTTCTATCGATTTGCTAAAAAACTTTTTGCCAAGCCCACTCTTTTTTTCATTTTTTATTTGTTTCCCCAATTTCTACCGATATTCCACATATTGTTGAAATTTCTCGTTCGCACTTTCACTAGCTGAGTAATGAGTATCTGATAGTCGGGAAACTCGACACAGCATTCTCAATTGTTATACCCGTTACTCGTAGAGTAAAAGGGTAAATAGATTCGTTGAAAAGAATTTCACAAGTAGAAGGAAGCGTTTCCGACTATTTAAAGTATATATATTCTTGATCAGGATCAATAGCCCTGTCGATCTGGCCATGTCCGTCTTATAGATGTAGATATGTAGTTTTTGTTATTGCAATAAAAACGGTTAACTGAATCACACTAATGTATTATATTTTTGATTTTAGGGTTACCTGGTCAACCTGCCATTGGACTTCCTGAACAAGGAGGTCCTTACGCCGCCTGGAACTAGTAAGGAAGGGCTAATTCCTACCTCTGTATGGACATAGTCTGCCAAAAGTCTCCAAGAGGCACCTAGATTTTAGAAAGCTTTAGAAAACCTCTTATCGCTCAACACCCACCAAAAGCGTTTTTATTCAATGTCAATGTCAAGTCATACATTTTGTAAATAGTGTATTAATAGATAACTCTAACTACTTTTAAGTACATGTAGTTATTCTTTACCAATAGTTAATTTATTTTACAGTGTTTGTCTATGTCCTCAAGTAGATTTTAGGTCCATGTTATTATTTTGTATAATGTTAAACAGTATTTAGACCGATTTACAAAAGCTTTTTAAAGTGATATGAAGTGCAAATGAAGAACTACAACAAAAAATGTATCTACGTTGTTTAAGTTTTTAATATCTTCTAATTCGGTATACATCACTCAGCTACTCAGCTAGTGAATTGTTACAGCAATTACCAAGTATGCACGTTCACATGTTTTGGAATGTGAATCTGCTATCCAGAGTTACTCGAAGGTACTTAGCTGCGTTCGGTTGAGGTAAAAGCAAAGACACTAGAATAATTAGATATTCTAATAATTATTCTAGAATAATTATTATTCTAGTGTCTTTGGTAAAAGGGTGCAGCTTACCGACTTACCGATATTCCAGTACCTTGTTGCAAAGGATAACTTCAGCAGCGTCAAGCTCATTTCGGGACCCGCAAGGGACACACATCGTCTCCTGACTATCCGGGCGGCAATCAGTCTTCGAGGTCGAAGGTTGCCAAGAACCTGTTTATTTTCCGGCTAGCCAGGTTTGTGGATCATGGAGATTATCCCGATTTCCTCCTAATAGAGGTGGAAGGCTTCAATAACGTTAACTTGCCAATGCAAGGCATCAAGAGGGTGACAGATGTGAGTAGCTAGAGCATCAGTGGGTTGTATCAGCTATGCGCTGCCGATGCAAACACATTCCGCAGAGTCTGAGAATCTGCGTGAAATGGCGAGAAGATGGTGTGAAGACCCAGTACCATATGAGAGTGGTAGTTGAGATACTCAGAAAGCGCACTGCTGTCGTACAATGATATCGATATCAGCGGTTTGGCAACGCAGCCAAATAATGCCGTAAGGCACACTACATATGTGTGAACCCAGTCGGAAGTGGAATTATTCCGGGACACATTATTTCCTTACTCTTTTTTGAGTGTAATTTCCCCAATTAGGAGAGTTACTATTCCATTTTGCCGGGCGTAAGACGCTTTCATACTACCCGTACATCGAATCTGTAAGCACTCCGTGAAAGGCTTCTGGATGCATTCCCTTACGTTTTCCAAAACATGTATTCCAAAAGAAGTATGTTACAATACTTTCGTAAACGTTACTCAGCATTGTTTCTGTATAAGTTATCATACATATTAATTATTAGTACATTTCTAGTGATTGTATTCCAACTAAAGAAGAGATAGTGTTTCCAAGGAATATAACCAACAAAGTCCCGTTAAAAAAATATTGTATATTTTTATTTTATTTAACTACAATTAGTCTATATATGTATTTCTATATCAGTAGCGACGGATTTATTCTGGCTTATCCTCTACCAGGAGAATATACACTGTTGGAAAAAAATTAAAAACAACAATCGCTCTTGCATGTAAAACTAAATTACTATATATGTACGAAGTGTATGTGGATAAACCGTTAGCACATAAGCCACTGATAACGGTACTTCATTGTTCTCTTCTTTTTGAGTTGATTTCGCTCTTGTTATTTGCGGTACATAGCGATATTTAAAGTGATCACGTGTTTGAGCTGGATAAATTAATAGAAACAAGCTACATATCTGGGATTTGTTTGAGTTTTTCCCTGTTAATTCTGTAAGAAAATCAATATATTCAATACTTTCAGGTATGTTTAGCTCATAAGTGATTTTGTAAAAAAATTTGTTTAATTCGGCTTTCATGTATTTAGAATGATATAGCAATGATGATATATAGAAAGGGATATAGCTGTAGAAAATGATATAAAAAAAGTGAAAAACGATGGAAAATCAAAAAGGGAAATTACTGAACTAATGCACTGTTCTGCGAAAAAAGAGTTTTCCGCGATTCACTATAGAGATACCAAGGAGAAACGGGGCAGGAAGCGAGCCACATCCCAAAAGTTCGACAAGCTTTTGATTCAAACTTCCAAAAAAAAACATTTTATGTCGTCGACGGACCTGAAAAATACTTTCCAGACATCAGTGTCAAGTCGAACAAAAAGAAATAGACTAATTGAAAAGAATTTGAAGGTAGGAAAGGCTAGGAAAGTCCACTGCTTAGTAAAAAAATATCGCTAAAGAACTGCCTTTTGCAAAGCGACACCTAGACCCTAAAAATTGGAAAAATTTTCTATGGTCTGATGAAACCAAAATTAATTTGTTCGGATCAGAGGTAAATACCGCATTTGATCCTAAGCACACAAAAAAAACCTGTAAAACAAGGTGGAGGTATCATCATAATATGGGGATGCTGTTCCGCGTCTGGAGTTTGTCCGATATTCCGTATAAAATATAAAATGTGTGCTTCCGACTACGTTAACATATTGGAGAATGTTATGAAACCATATGCCGAGGAGGAAATACCCTTAAAATGGGAGTTCATGCAGGATAATGATCCCAAAAATGGTTCCAGAACCAAAAAATTAATGTTATGGAGTGGCCGGCCCAATCCCCGAAACATCCTATAGAACATTTATGGGGAATATTAAAAAGAAGAATTAGAGGTATTGGATTTTAAATAAAAAAAAGGAAGAGCTGTGGTAAAAGTGAAGTCAGACATTAACCCCCAAATTTGCTCCAATTTAGTGAATTCACTGCCTCGTCGATGCTTAGCAGTTACAATATTATATAACAACTACTATAAGATAATTCATAAAATTTAATTTTTTCTTAGTTTTGTTTATATTATTTTTTTCAAGCGCCTTAAATTAAGTTAATTATTAATTTTAGTTAATATAAAGATGAAAAAAACATTTTTGTTCCTTATTGTAAAATATACTTATATAAGAATATGAAAAAAAAAAAATTAAAAAATATTACTTTTGCCTTGAGCACAAAATTTAAAGTCCATGATTCAACTAACGTGTTTATATTAATTTTCCCTACACTGTATCTAATGTAATGTAATGTATAAACATACATATAACGTCCTGCTCTTTACGATTTTTTTAATAGAATGCCAAAATTCACTAAAACAACAGCAATAAGAAGTTTCTTGTGCTTTTATCACCGTTATTTGTGATCTAACGGTTTAAAAAACTGCATAATAAGCTTTTTCATGAAGCTTTTTCAGTTTGAACGCATACTTTTTCTTGTGCCATATCCCATGAATGTGTACTTTTTATTTCTATAAAATTCAATTGAAATTAAATATTTTTAAATATTATCTGTGCTTCTTACTTGCAAAATACAAACCCAAATCTGCCGTCGCTAAATTTCTAATTTTGTTTTACTTTCACTTACGATCTTGACGATTCAAAATCAAAATAGAAACAGAAACGCAATAAAACAACAAAAATGCTTCGCTCTTCCTGGTCAGCTGTTATACTCTTCGTCATTTGCTTTTTTTCTTACAATGCACTGTGGGAAGTTTAACCTGACTTGTTGGCAAAAATGTGTGTTAAAAAATTAACGGATTAAAAATTAATCCAAGGCTTATATTATGTAACGCAAATGTTGAGTTAGTCCCTGTTGTAGAGTGATTAATTTCCTATTCAAAACAAATAGTCATAATCTGAGACTTTTTGCGAACATTTTAGGTAGCAATCTGTCAATTAGCAATGCGGGCCTCCCAAAAGTGTGGCGCATGCAATGGCTAGCTTGTGAGAAACTGAATGCAATATTCAAAATTATTTGTTGGCATATCAACGTTAGCATTTTGGAAATTAATCAAAGTGGAGGAAAGCACGCATATTTCACGTGAATGGAATATATGCAATAGAAAGCTGGAAAGTTTGCAGTAAAATACCCGGCATGGACGGAAGGCAATCTTAGCTTGAACCTACTTGGTATTTCATTTATTTATTTCCTACTTGGAGCAAGAGGACAGAGGAAGAAAGCCAGCAGCCGATCTCTTAAGACTCCAGAAACGTAACTCCTTGTTGGAAGCGTCGAGTGTACCTGCACCGAAGAAGGGGCTCAACGATCTGGCTGCAGTACTTATATAAATAAGTAAGTATATAAAAAGTATAAAAAGTATACAAATAAGTATATAAAGAATACTAGTCTTTAACCCAGCTAAAGCGAAGATCATTAGGAAGTGGATAAGCAAGCCCGTACAACATACTGTGCGCTCTAATTATTGACAAGCTTCCCTGGCTTCCAATAATAGCGACCGTTCACAAGATTCTGGTTCACTCCAAACAGAATCTTGAAAACACAGTTCTTCCTGTCGGCTATTTTGGAGAAGAGGCTGCAGAATCCAGAAATAAGACATACAAGTCCGACAGACCCATGCCAGAAAGCACAGTCGGATTTCTAACTTTACCGATGTGTTTAACAGAGGATTGGAAACTTCGGACCCAATAATATCTTCTCTAAATTTATGCAGGCGAATTAAAAAACATAATCGATTTCCTCTTCCGCGAGAAGTTACTAAATTGTTGTGCGAATTGGAACAGGCAGAAGAATGTTATATGATCCTCATTGTGGAGAGAAATATGAAAATGAATTATTTTTTAACGTTGAATTAGACAGGGAAGAATATATTGAGTAAAAAAAACGACACGCCCACTTTGCCAAAATAATAAAGGTGTGTATAAGACTAGAAAAAAAAATTATCATCGTATCTAAAATATGTAGTTCACGAGATATTAATTTATGCCAAAAAAACAGGTAAAATTCCCCATAGTGCAGTGGTAAGGACTCAAGAGTCCTTACTGATCACCGTCTATTCTCCAATACAAACCATTCTCACTTGGGCAGAACTAAACTACCTCTTAAACCATTCTCACCTTGTTAGACCTAAAAGGCCTCTCCAACTCTTCTCACTTTGGTAGAGCTGAACCATTCTGACCTCTCCAACTATTCTCACTTTGGTAGACCTAAGAGGCCTCTTCAACCATTCTCACTTTTGTAGACCTAAACGGCATCGCAAAACCATTCTCACTTTGGCAGGCCTGAATGGCCTTTCAAACCATTCTCACCCAAATATAAATTCCTGAAACGAATCCTGTCCATCCCTGAGCCATCCGAGCAAGGACATATCGTCACAATTGGATGGTGAAATAGAGTATTAGCGACGCCGTGTGATGAGAGTGGCTAACTAAGGAATTGGAGTGGTTAATACCCGACTTGCTGCGGCTTAAAATAAAAATTGACTCTGTTTCCGACATATATATTGATTT